TCTCTCTCTCTCTCTCTCTCTCTCTCTCTCTCTCTCCATTTTGTTCTTCCTTTTCCACACTTTGGGTTTGCTCTGTCCTTTTTTACGTTTAATAATACTATATTTTTCCATCTCCCTTTTTATCTTTCATCATACCATCCATCTCGCTGCAATTTTCTGTCTATTCGCAAACCTGACCTTCCAGTTCGAGTGTCAAAAGTCGACTCCACCCGCAGAATCTGAACACCACTTTTTCAAATTGCTTGAGTTGTTAACACCATACGTAATTTTCGGAATTGGGACACATTTTGTCAGTAAATAGCTAGTCTAGCACGATATTCTGACAAATTATTATTTTTTACAAGAACATTATGTTACACAAAATTCTGCTTTATTTACAATTTACAAATAGGTGGGTATTTCTGCATCTAGCTAAAAAAAAAATATGGATATGGTTCTAACAACACATGAGATACAATTTAGACTTGCTGTCTTCTGTATAGCGAATAAAAAACTGAATTGGTATGGTCATGTTACGAGATCGTGTGGCCTTGTCTATCCAAAAGCCTTCTTCAGGTAACTGTGCAGGGGAGGAGAAGGAGAGGAAGGCAAAGAAAGAGGTGGACCGACAACATTGCGGGGTGGACAGAGAAATCCGTCGCCCAAACTCCGGCGCTGGCAAAAAAAAAGCAAAAAACCGTGAAAAGTGGAGGCACCTGAAGAGGTTCTCTATCATTCAGCGCCCCTAGGATCCTCGTGGATTTTGGGATCAGTAAAATTGCAAACCTACAGAGAGCAAAGGAAAAAGAATCATGACCACAGAATAATAAGTGTGCAATAAGGATAGCCATGTCATAATAGCGAACTTTGATGATTCAGCACGTTTTAATGCTTTTTGATATGTAGTCCTGAAGGGTTGCACAGAACGCCGAATGTTAGAATCAGGGCTGTAGGCTTTACTTATATTATCATTATTTGCTTGTTTTGTTGTTGTTGGGTTTTTTTGTTTTTTGTTGGTTTTTTTTGTTTTTTTTGGGGGGGGGTTGTAGATTCTAAATGTTGTACGCGCGCGCAACTGCATAAGGTCATAAGGGCCCGCGGGACATATTAGACATTTTCAATTAGTAGGAAATTTTAAATGTTGCCTGGGTGGCGATCGAAGCCTACTCTTATCGAGCTTAGACCACCAAGGGATCTTTAATGTGCGGAACTTGCGAACGGTACTTCCGAGTTTTTCGCCCTTGTCCGAGACGGCTAGGTGTAGATCTTTCCTACTAGAAGATCAGGTATGTGGCTGAAAGACAGCGGTAAGAAGGAGCAAAGGATTAGCAGTAAAAAAAATTATTAATATATTATTCAAGGCTACTTAGTGGACTGTGCCTGGGAGTGTGATGTAATCAAATGTATACAAAATGTGTATGTACACACACTCACACACTCGCGCGCGCGCACATTCTTGTACGCACAAGCGCACACACTCATTCACACACATACACACATAAGAATATTATACAAACACACACATACACGCGCGCACACATTCAAACACACTTACATTCATACACACACATACACGCATAAACACACACACCCTCTCTCTCTCTCTCTCTCTCTCT